ATGTCATAGTAATGAACTGTAGTAAAAGAGCAGTCCCATAGTGTCTCCGCAGCATTACAGAGGGGAGCAGAATTAGGTTGAGCAGTTTCATGTTGCATCCTTCAGTCCTAGTTGTTGGTCATGGTGTAAGAGTAACTGTATTAAAAGGGTTGTAGTAAGATGTAGTAAGAAGCCAAAGCACGGTATCCATTGTTACAAAGTAACAAAGTAGTAAATATAGTGTTAGATATTAGTGGTGGTGGTGTAAGATGTAATAAGAAAACTATTACATTGTCTCCCGATCTCCAGGCTGTGTTAATAGAGGAGTAGTAATGCACAAGGGAAAATGTGTCCAGTAGGCAGTCAGTAGAAACATGTAGTAGTGATAAAAGTTACAAATGTTAGGAGATGTAGTCTCTGGGTGAGTAGTAAAATAATACAGTGGCAACCGCAGTAGTATTGTGTGGTGTAATATATAATATAGTAGCAGTGCAATGCCCAGAAGCAGCTGTATTTAATAACTGATAATTCGCTGATGTAGTAATGCAGTGAGGGTATTAGTAGCAATATGTAACTAAAATAGTAGCTATAAGTAATGCTTAGTATACGTTTAGTTGTGAAAAACATAATGTTATATAAGTGCAACATTAGAAGTAACATAGTAACATGCAGAAGTAGTTTCCGTTGTGGCATCAGTAGCAGTATATAGTAACTGTAGTGGTTACAGTTGTAGACGTAGTAGCTGTGTAGTAGGCAGATAATAGAAACATATGGTAGTAGTAATACTTTGTAACTTTACAATGACGTAATAGTATCAATTCAGAGTATTAGTAGTGAAGTCAGATGCAGTGTTAGAGATAGAGCAGCAATATAGTAGAGGAGAGTTAGACTAGTATATGTTAGTAGATGTAGTAAGAAATCTAGCAGCAGTGTAGTGGAGGGAGTAGCAATATATAGTAGTTGAAACTATAGAAGAGTTGAGAGTTGTAGTATCAGTTTAGTATGTGTTTAGTACTTACGTGTATATGAATATGTGTGTGGGTATGAGTATGGAGTAGTGGTATGTAACAGCAGCAGTCAGAAGTACAGAAAAGTGTAGTAACAATGGAACGGGGATGAAGGGGGAAAGCATTCAAAGTAATTATACAGCAGTAGTACTTAGGGATAAAGAGAATGAATTAGCAGTATATTGAAGGTCAATAGTATACAGCAGTAATAGTTTGAGTCCTAGCAAGTACCTAGCATTGTATTAGGGGTACTAATAGTATACAGTTTTACTGTTTAGAAGTATAGTGACATGTAGTAGCATTCCTTTGCTCCCAGCTGTATGGGTGGGGGGTGAGGTAGTAGTGCTATAAAGTATAGTAATAGTTAGTAGTTGGATTATAGTAATAGTAAGAAGTTGCATGGCAGAATATTAGTGGAGTGATAGTGTGTAATTGTGAGATATATAGATAAAAGATTGCAGTTCTCCTGATTTTCCCTGTCTCCAGCAGTGTAGTGGGGGGAATATAAATGTATATATAATTGTTAATCCTATAAAATGATCAGTCAACAGGAGTACAGTGATATACAATAGCAGTTGTGTAGAACATCCCTCCCTCCAGCATTATATTAGAGTAAGTAGTAGTGTTCTCTTGCTATTGTAGTTGTCAGAAATGAATGTTGTAGCAGTTCTCTTGAGTCTCACCATTTCCAGCAGTGTAGTCAGGGCAGCATCTGTGTTATCTAGTTGTAGAAGAAATTGTAGAAGTTGTAGGATATAGTAGCATTTCCGCCAAAGCCACCACCCCCCTTGCTTAACGTCTATTAGTGGGAGAATGGAGGTATTTAGTAGGATAAATAGTTGTTAGGAGTACAAAGAGACATAGTAGCTGTTCTTGTGAGTCATCGCACCTCCAAAATTGTTATGGCAAATAAGTATTTTTTTTTAATTATTATAATAATAATAATTATTATTAGTAGTAGTGGTGGTTGTAGTAGTAGTAGTAGTAGTAGTAGTAGTAGTGGTAGTAGTAGTAGTGGTGGTGGTAGTAGTAGTAGTAGCTGTCAGAAATACTAAGAGATGTAAAAGTAGTTTTTAAGTGCCCGACTGCCAACCTCCAGCAGGTATAGGTGGAGTGGGTATAGGTGGAGTGGGTATAGGTGGAGTGTTAGCGGTATCCAGCAGTTGTATTGTCAAAAGAAAAAAAGAGATGTAGTAGCAGCTCTCCCCTCTGAAGGCATGTAGTAGGGAAGCCATAGTGGCATCTCATTATTGTAGTTGCCGGTAGTATAAGGAGACATATTAGCAGTGCTCAGCAAAAGTAACTCTACCCTTCCTCCCCTTTAGCTGTGTAGTAGGGTATGCAGTAATAGTATTTAGTATTAATAATTGTCAGAAGTACAGAAAGATGTAACAGCAGCTCTCCAGACTCCCCAGCAGTGAGGGGAGTAGTAGTGCTATCTACAACAAGTTGTAGTTGTCATAACATAATGAAGTTTAGGGTAAACTAGGGTCTTCCAGCCCTCAGCAGAGTAGTATGGAGATGGTAGTAGTATACTGTATTACCGTAGTAGTTGTCAGACGTATAGAGAAATGATTTAGCAGTTCTTCACAGTGACCCCTACCACTTGTAGTAGAGGATATAGTAGTGCTGTTAAGTAGTAATAATTGTCAGACATACTAGAAGATGTAATAGCAGCCCTCCAGCACCCCCTTCCCACTCCCAGCCCAGCAGCATAGTAAGTAGAGTAGTAGTGTTAGCAATAATAAGTAGTAGTTGTCAGAAGTACAGGGAGTGCAGAGTCTCCATCTCTCAGCAGTGTAGTAGAAGTAGTGGTATCTAGAAGTATGTTTCACGTGCATAAAAATATTTGGCTGCAGTTCTCTAAAGTTTTACCCCTCTGGTAGTTCAGTGGGGGGTGGGAAGGTAGTATTGGTGTCTAGTTGTGGTTCATGTTTTCAGAACTATGTGGGTATGCAATAGAAGCTCTGAAATGCCCCCTATCGCTCAAGCAGCAGTAGTAGTAATTGCCAGAAGTACATGGATGTGTATTAACAGCTTTTCATAGTGCCCCCCAACCCACCTCCAACACAATATTAGGGGAATATTAAACATATCTAATAGTAGTAGTGTTTGTCAGGAGAAGTAGTAGATATAGTGGTAGTTCTGCAGAGCCTTCCTGTCTTTAGCTGACTATTAGGGGTAGTAGTAATGGTATGTAGTAGTAGTTTTTCTGAGAAGTTCAGAAAAATATAGTTGAGGCTTGTAGGGTCTCTCCGCCTTCAGCATTGAATTAGGAGCAGTAGTATTAATTGTTGTTGCTGTCAGGAGCATTGATAGCTCTAGTAGCATCTCCCCAGAGTCTACCTATCTCCAGCAGTGTAGTAAATGGGGTATAAGTATCTACCTGCCTTCATCTGTGTATTAGAGGTAATAGTAATGGTATCTAGCAATGGCTGTAGTTGTTAAAAGTACAGTAATAATAGTAGCAAGTCCGCAGAGTCCCACAAGCAGTACTACTGGAGGAGGGGAGACTCTGATGCTACTAGGCATAGTAGTATTGCTATCTGGCAGTAGTTGACAGGAATTCAGGGAGATCTAGTAGCAGCTCTTTGTGTTCCCTCATCTAAAGCAGTGTATTGGAAGCACTAGTAGGAGTAGTATTAGTTGTCAGAAGTAGTAGCTCTCCATGCTCCCCCACCTCCAGCAATGTATTGGAGTTGTAATAATAGTATTTGTTGTCAGAAGTTCAGGGAGATAGTAACAGGTCTCCATGTTCCTCCACCACTAGCAGTGTATCGGGGATAGTAATAGGTGTCTGCAGTAGTTGCAGTTGTCAGACATTTAGGGAGATGTAGTAGCAGCTCTTAACAGTCTCCCCACCAACAGCAGTATATTGGGAACAGTTGTAGTGAATGATATCTGATTATCTGGCTGTAGTAGTAGCTCTCCACAGTCTCCCCCACCTCTCCAACAGTATATTGGGGGTAGTAGTAATGATATCTGGCAGTAGTTGTAGTTGTTAGAAGTCCTGGGAGATGTAGCAGCAGCTCTCCAGAGTCTCCCCACCTCCACCAGTATATTGGGGGTAGTAGTAGTGCTCTCTGGGAGCAGTAGTAGTTATCAGAAGTTCATAGAGAAGTAGTATAGCAGCTCTCTAGAGTCTCCCCTCCTCCATTAGTATATTGGGGTAGTAGTAGTGCTCTCTGGGAGCAGTAGTAGTCCTGAGAAGTGTTAGGAGCTCTCCAGAGTCTTCCCTCCTCCAGCAGTATATTGAGGGTAGTAGTAGTGTTCTCTGGGAGCAGTAGTAGTCCTGAGAAGTAGTAGGAGCTCTCCAGAGTCTCCCCGCCTCCAGCAGTATATTGGGGGTAGTAGTAGTGCTCTCTGGGAGCAGTAGTAGTCCTGAGAAGTATAGTCGGGAGAAGTAGTAGGAGCTCTCCAGAGTCTTCCCTGCCTCTAGCAGTATATTGGGGGTAATAGTAGTGCTCTCTGGCAGCAGTAGTAGTGCTGAGAAGTAGTCGGGAGAAGTAATAGCAGCTCTCCACCAGAGTCTCCCCTCCTCCAGCAGTATATTGGGGGTAGTAGTAGTGCTGTCTGGGACCAGTAGTAGTCGGGAGAAGTAGTAGCAGCTCTCCAGAGTCTCCCCGCCTCCAGCAGTATATTGGGGGTAGTAGTAGTGCTGTCTGGGACCAGTAGTAGTCGGGAGAAGTAGTAGCAGCTCTCATCCAGAGTCTCCTCTCCTCCAGCAGTATATTGGGGGTAGTAGTAGTGCTGTCTGGGAGCCGTAGTAGTCCTGAGAAGTAGTCGGGGGAAGTAGTAGCAGCTCTCCACCAGAGTCTCCCCTCCTCCAGCAGTATATTGGGGGTAGTAGTAGTGCTTGCTGGAAGCAGTAGTAGTCGGGAGAAGTAGTAGCAGCTCTCATCCAGAGTCTCCCCTCCTCCAGCAGTATATTGGGGGTAGTAGTAGTGCTGTCTGGGAGCAGTAGTAGTTGGGAGAAGTAGTAGCAGCTCTCATCCAGAGTCTCCCCTCCTCCAGCAACGCCGTGTCCCAGCAACTGTGGCAACTGCGCTGGGCGGCCACCCGGGACAAGAGCTGCAAGCTGCCCATTCCGAAGGGTTCCATGGGCTTCCCACTGGTGGGCGAGACCTTCCACTGGATACTGCAGGTAAGCCCACTCGTGAAACTCGTGCACCCTGTGTCTTCTATGTCACTTCTGTCCCCGCTCGTGAAACTTTCCCTGTACTCTGTGTCTTCTACATCACTTTTGTTCCCACTCCTGATCGTGTCACTGTAACTTTCTCCTGGGCTCTGTGTCTTGTCTGTCGCTTCTGTCCCCACTCATGATCGTGTCATTAAAACCCTTCCCTGCACTCTGTGTCTTCTGTGTCACCTCTGTCCTCACTCGTGAAACTTTCCCTGGACTCTGTGTCTTCTACATCACTTCTGTCCCCACTCATGACCGTGTCACTGAAACGTTTTCCTGGGCTTTGTGTCTTGTCTGTTCCTTCTGTCCCCACTCATGATCGTGGCATTAAAACTTTTCCTGCACTCTGTCTTCTCTGTCACCTTTGTCCCCACTCCTGACAATGTCTCTCAAACTTTCCCTGTACTCTGTGTCTTCTCTATCACTTCTCTCCCCACTCCTGATTGTGTCACTGACACTTTTCCCTGCACTCAGTGTTTTCTATATCACTTCTGTCCCCACTCATGACCGAGTCCTTGACACCTTTCCCTGTACTCGGTGTCTTCTCTGTCACCTCCTGTCCCCACTCATGACTGAGACATAATTCCCTGCACCCTGTGTCTTCTCATTTCTCTCCCCACTCCTGATCGTGTCACTGAAATGTTTCCCTGCACCCAGTATCTTCTATATCACTTCTGCCCCCACTCATGACCGTGCCACTGACACTTTTCCCTGCACTCTGTGTCTTCTCTGTCATCTCTGACCCCCACTCATGACTTTCCCTGCACTGGATGTCTCTGGTCTGACTTTTCTCTCCTTGCGCTGTCATTGCTGCTCCTCTGTGTGTTTCCACTCGCGATGGTGTCCACATCAGCTGTTGAACCCACGGGTGAACTTGTTCCTGCAGCTTTGCACTCCGCAGTTTGTTCTTGAACACATTGTCGGAGTTATTTTATTTTTAGCCCACTGGTGACATTGTAACTATCCATTGCACTTGTTATTGTGCTGTCACCCGTGATATTGTCACTTCTGCCCTCCTGTCATGTCTCTTCTTGAACTATGCATGCGTGAAATTATCACGGCTATGCAGACACGGGTGACACCGATACATTGTGTGTCCTATGCGGTAATATTGTAGCAATGAGAGGGAATCACCTTTCCACTGACACCCCGAAATTGTCCCTGGTCCATCTTAGTGCCCCTCTCTGTGTTCCCCACTCGAGTTCTTGTCGCTACAGGTTTCCATTGCTCTATTGCTGCTGAAACACCCACTCGTGAACATTGTGCCACTCCTGATCTTGTCATTTCTGTCATTTGTCATGAATTGGTGTCATCTGTCTATTTCTTGCTGTGGGTGGCACTCAGTCCCACTGGTGATAATGTCACTGCCACTGACCTCCTCTCTATGACCCCTTCGTGATGACCCTTGTACATTGTGTCACCCGTGAAATGGTCATTATTTTGTTGGGATAGTTCCTGAGATCCTGCGTGGATTCTCTGTCACTGGAAACATATTATATGGTCGCACTGTGCCGAATATTGTTCATCAATTGTGATACCGCGTGTGTTTCATCCACTGGTGATTTTGTTTTATCACGGGCTCCCTGTAAGACAATGACATGTACCGGGGGCTCTATAATCGCTCCTCCTGGTAGTTCCAGAGACGTCCCTGTTATGTATTGCCACGCGTGGAATGTTCTGTGCCGCCTGGACCGTGACCCACTTCCCTGCGTGACCCCGCACCCTGTCACCCCGTGCCCCCTCTGTCCCCCCAAGGAGTAGGAGGTGATCCCTGTGCTATTTGGGTCTCTGTGACCTCTATGAGTTTCCTAGAAAAGTAAAATAAAGAGAAATCAAAAATCAAAGCGGATCGATGAATCTCAGAAGGTGACAGGTTGTACACTGTTAGAGTGTAAGCTCTCTGGTCCAGGTGTGTGTGTGTGGGGAGGGGGGGCACTCACTGGCAGCGTCGTGCTGTTTATGGGCACAGCTGGTACACAGGCATGCCAGGAATGTGTTTGGTGCCGGCTGGGTGGTGGCAGGCAAGCAGACAGGTTTGGGCAGCGCTCACGTTGGGTGGCGGCCAGGCTGCTCGGCATCGCTGCTTTAAGGCCCAGTGAACTTGTGTCAGTAGTCCGGAGGCAGGTAAGAGTCCGGGCTGATGAGTGCCTGAGCTCCTCCAGGCTGGGGAGGGAAGGAGGACTGACTGCCACCTCCGGGCCCGGCCTCCTTCTCCCTGGACCTTCAGGAGCCCCATTAACTCTTCACCAACCTCACCTGAGCCAGCCCTTCTTTATAGAATCCCTCCTCCCCTCCTTCTTGTTACACTCTATCCCCTCCCCTGTCTTCTTCCATAAAGTGCCTTCACATGGGATTCTGTCAGTTTCACAAGTTCAGCCAATGGATTTCTTTTTTTTAAAATAGATTTTCTGTCTCACCCCTTGTTGAAAATAAGTGGCCAGGGGGGATCTTTTAACCCTCGCCATGCCGATATACCAAAGCCAAAGTCGTGCATTCATTAAAGTAGGTGTAAGCGCTGACTGAATGGCGTCTCCTTTTCTAAAGCACTGCACGCCGTAAGCAATGAATACAATACTTTTTTTCCCCCATCCCTCACTGCTGATCTCCTCATCATTGGTTGTCCGGTGGCTGAGCCGCACAGCATCATTGGTTGTCCGGTGGCTGAGCCGCACAGCATCATTGGTTGTCCGGTTGCTGAGCTGCACAGCATCATTGGTTGTCCGGTTGCTGAGCCGCACAGCATCATTGGTTGTCCGGTTGCTGAGCTGCACAGCATCATTGGTTGTCCGGTTGCTGAGCCGCACAGCATCATTGGTTGTCCGGTTGCTGAGCTGCACAGCATCATTGGTTGTCCGGTTGCTGAGCCGCACAGCATCATTGGTTGTCCGGTTGCTGAGCCGCACAGCATCATTGGTTGTCCGGTTGCTGAGCCGCACAGCATCATTGGTTGTCCGGTTGCTGAGCCACACAGTATCATTGGTTGCTAGGATTCAGGCCGCACAGCATCATTGGATGTCCAGTTGCTGAGCCGCACAGCATCATTGGTTGTCCGGTTGCTGAGCCACACAGTATCATTGGTTGCTAGGATTCAGGCGGACACATCACATCAACCTATGACACTGTGGGACCACCAGCGTCTTAGCAGCCAATGATGCTGTGTGTGAAGCACAGTGTCATTGGTTGTCCAGTGGCTGAGCTGCACAGTGTCATTGGTTATCCGGTGGCTGCACATCACAGCATCAATTGGTTGCTAGGATGCAAGCGTATACATCACATCAACTTATGGCGCTGTGGGACCTCAAGCGCCTTAGCAGCCAATGATGCTGTGGGTTCATTGGTTGTCCAGTGGCGGAGCCACATGGCATCATTGGTTGCTAGGAAACAGGTGGACACATCACATCAACCTATGATGCTGTGGGACCACCAGCGTCTTGGCAACCAATGATGCTGTGTGTGATGCCCAGCGTCATTGGTTTCTGTGGTGCTGGCGGCCCCACAGCAACGTCAAGGTGCTTCAAGGGAGAAGTGCTAACCACTGAGCCACTACACTGCCCTAAAAATGCAACATTTGGGGAACAGAGCTCCTTTCTTAAAGCAAGACCACCCCAAACCTTAACGTTTGCCTTGCACTGGAGTCTGAAAAGGTTTTTCGCACATAGCAGTATGAATCAAGGCCCCTGTAGCCCCGCCCCCCCTTCAGAGAGGCTGCAGAATATATTACTCCAGGTTTACTCGCTCTTGTGTGTGAGCTTATTGTGGGCTGCAAATCCCGTCTCAGAACCTTGTCTACGCTATGATGTCATGACCACAGAGAATACAGACTGATTGAATGCGTCTCTGCCCCATCGTTCACCTTCCCTCTTTTCCCTCAGCTACAAGTCTGCACAGCCCCGGCTACTAATGGGATTCTACCTGGTTTGGGGATGAGCTTGGTCCGGCATTGGGGTTCCGGCACCTGGGAATTGTTCTGGAGTTATGGATGGACAGATATGGATCGTTCAACTTCAGAACCATTCACAACCTTCTAGGTTTAGTTGGGCTGAAGAGCTGATTGTCTATGGTATGCATCCCGGCACTCACTGACTACCTGTTCACCTTACTAGCAGGTTAGAGTTGCCCGTGTTGGCATCTCAGTAGCCCACAATAGCCCAAAGGGTGGTGCATGAACCAATGAACACACCAGCCTGGTTCTCTCTGTGTTCTCAGTGCAGCCGTACACACACATATTAAAGCACAGGTGGGCAACATCGGCACCCCAGCTCTGGTGCAACTACAACTCCCATGAGGCACTGCAAGACCGTCGGCCACATGCATGACTCCTGTAATGGGATTTGTAGTTTGAGCTCAGCTGGAGCGCCGAAGATGCCTATCCATACAACAAAGCATGAATGGAAACTTTCACGGCACAGACTGAACTGTACTGTAGGGATCTTATTCAGGTGAAAATGCAGTTGTGGCATCACCTACACCTGCCGGAGGGTGAGCGTGACTGCCAGGCGGCTAACATTTTCCAAAGGAGATCAGCAATGGTAGCTTACATTTTGTTTAAAAACATTTTTTATGCACGTGTTGGCCAACATTTTTCTGGATGGAGTTGTAGTAAGCGTTTTAGCCAGCAGGTGTCAGCCTTTCTGTCCCACGGCAAAGGGTTGGTTATCAATAATGCTCCTTATGCAATGGCGGCACCTGTGCGCAAACCACTAAAAATAAATACAAATAAAAAAATAAAACAAAAATCCAATTTTTCATGTCAACTTTTTGTGTCAAAATAACATTAAAAATATTTGTAATAAGTAAATGAAAAATATTATTATTATTATTATTATTATTATTCAGAGAGCCAAAAGTTTGATATTATTATTATTCAGAAATTATTTAGTGCCAACAGTTTGGGCAAAGCTTTACAGTGTAAGGAGGACATTACTATTTGTAATAAATTAATTAAAAATATTATTATTATT